GCTCGTCCCTCCCACCAGCCACCAGCAGCATAGCTCCCAAGCAAGACTAGAGGGCTTATCTCAGTAAGTGATGCCAAAAATAAAAAAGACCAAGGAGAGAAGCAGTGAAAGCTTCCTTCTCAATTACCCACCAAGCCAAGGGAGCACTTCAAGAAGAGATCAAGGGAGGATTCCAAGAAAAGATCCAAGATGTTGAATACAACAAATGCAAGAAAAAGGTGAAGGGAAATTTCTAGGACAGTTAGGGATTCCAGAATGGTTAATTATAATTACATCATAGACCTTGAGAAAAGGGTTTGTTTAGAAAGGGGGAATGAAGACATTTGAGAACAACTTCTCAAGATATGTGAGGGGTCTCTCTAGTGGTGCAAGGGGTTAAAGCACAGCACTATGAAGCTATCTGCAGCCACTACAGCACAAGTTCTATTCCCAGCCCGTAGGTGACCACGTGGCATAGCAGACCTCTCCTGTCTCACCGGCTGCTCCCTTCAGCAGTGTACTTTAGTCGATCTGCCTATTCTGCTCCCCACTGTCTCTGGTGATTCCTCTAAGCCCGTGCACCTCTGGCCTATATACTCCAGTTCTTATATGCATAAATAGATCTTTATTTAAAAAAAAAAGGTATACTAGGTGAGGTAAACTGGGAGTGCGCAAGAGGGAGTTGCCCAACCTCTTGACTAAACAGAGAGACCAAATCACAGGTGGCAGTAGCTGCTTGCTGCTTAACATCTTCTTTTAATAGCCCATTTGATAGATCCCATCAGACAAACAAATGGTCACATCCTGAGAGATGGGACCCTATTCTGACCATCGTGGCATCATACTTTGAGATGACAGAGGTGTCAACTACGATACACAGCTATTGTTTTAACAGCTACTAGCCACAACACTTCCTGGAAGGGGGGGATGGTAGTGGGTCTTCATGAGAAGACAGTAAAAGACCATGACACAAAGTGACCAAGATCTCATTAGCATGCTAAAACGCATACCCCCCAGGAGCTATTCAAACCATTAATGAGACATGCAACCTATAAGGAAACATATAACCCATGTGCATGTAGTTCAATCCCAAATACTAAGAACTGCTCTCCTATGCCCTAATTAATAGACAAACCCCTCTTGAATTTTTTCTTAGCACCCTTCAGAGAGACAGCCAAGAAACTTTTTTCTTCTGGTTCTGCTTCCCTTTTGCGAGTGCACTAAATTTAATAAAGCCTGGTTAAGACGCAGTCTGCTAAATCCTGTTATAATGGGTCAGAACCTCTACAGAGGTCCCAGGTCAGTAAGAGAGCCAGACAGATTGGAGCAGGTGGATAGAAGGTTCTCATGAGAGGTTCCTTCAACCAAAATGAAAACAAGCTTGGACATACTAAGAGGTTATTTATACTTACTGACAGAGTTTGGGATGAATTTTGTAGGTAACAGTAAAAAGGAAAAAAAAGGTAATGATTCTCATCAGAAAAAAAAAGGTGCACAGAAAAGGAACTCTTACTGTGACATATCCTGCCTGGTTCACAATATTCATTAATTTAACCACGGTTCTATAACTATATAAGAAATAAGGGGAAAAGGAAGGTGAAGGGAGCCTAAAATGTAATCTTTCACAGAATCTACAATAACTGTTCTTTTTCATCCTAGGCCCTATAAAGCTACCTCTATTTCATGACTTTTCTTAAATACTTTGAAAGTTAAAACTTCTCACGTTTTAAAAATAAATTTAAATTCTGATAAAAACCAAAGTAAGTTTTCCCAAAAAAATAAAGGCTATTATATGAGGTTACTAAGATTCTTGAGCCAGCAAACTGGAAAGAGTGGGAAGAAGAGTGAGACCAGAGCAGAATGTCTGAGTTAGTGATTTGGAGAAGCTGGTGACTTTTTAATGACAGGATCCAAGATGTGACTATGTGACCAGATGGCTAAGTTAAATGATTTGAGGGGCTGACTTTTTAGTATTGACAGGATCCAAGAAATGACTATGGAGGAATTAAAGTGATTGGTAATGGTATAAATTACAATACACAAAATTTCTTCTAAAAAAAATTCACTGACTTTAAATAATTCTGCCTATTACATACAGCATTTATTTTTTTTAAACATTTTTACTTATGCATGCAGAAATGGGGTACAAGCCACAGGCGCAGGGGTGGCGAGAGGACCCACCAGATATGAATGGGGAGCAGAACAGGCAGCTCAACGAAGCACACTGCTGAGGGGAGCAGCAGTCCAGGCCAGGCCAGGAGAGGTCTGCTACACCATGTGGATCACCCCTGGGACCAGGGATGGAACTCTCACTGAAGCAACTGCAGCCAGCCTGCAGCGCTCTGTCCTTACCCGTTGCACCAGCGGGGAGGGCCCTATTACATATAACTTCTAAAAAGACTTTACAAGAAAAGAAAAAACAAGTAGAGACCAGGTGGCTGAGAAAAAGATAAAGGAATTAAGAAGACAATGTTAGCTGAATTGCTACTCCAGATTTAACTGCCTAAAAATGATGTAACTGCTGGATATTTTCCAGTTCTCTTTTCCACCTTTCTCTACCATGTTTTCTGTCCCAATATGCTGACCTGTCTGGACGGTTTCAACAGGTTCCTCTATCCCCTACCTCACCTCTTGGTTGGGCTTGTCCAGTGAAGAACCTCAGGAAGAGTTCAGGAGAACAAGATGAGGGTATTTATTCCTCCACCTCTCTCTCCCCGCAGTTACCTCATGTTCCTCTGTCCCTTCCACTCCTCAAGGGCAGTAAACACCATACCTTTCTGAGGAGTTGGAGTAACCTCTCCCTATCCTATGCCTTCAAAGTAAGGCAGTTAACAGTTTGACAACAGGTTACTACATTGTGTCTTTTGTGGTACCACATTATACTCACATCTTTATATAGAGAGAGTACCTTTATAAAATAAAACCTTAGTACCAGCCCCGATTCAGGTGTGACTTTTGTTCCTCCTGTAAATACTGAGGCTGATAATGTTACAGAGAGTAAAGTAAGGAAAGTGACTGTGGTTTGAGTAAGTAACTAATGTATTCAGAGCTCTATGTTCCAACAACTTTTCTAAGCTACTTGCAGATGTTAACTCATTTTATAATCATAAATATCCTATACAGCAGAGATTTTTGTCTGATGCATTTCCATACACCAATGCTGAATAAGCACAGCTGCTGGTGGGACATGGTAAATAAATACTCATTTAAAAAGCACACAGTAGGCAGGTTTAGTAGGAAAGCTAAATTTTGGTATAGTGCAAGCATTTCTCCTCCTTCGAAAACTGTGAAGGTTTGAGATTCGACTCCACAAATCCAGATCACAAAAACGAAACAGTATGACTACATGTGAATGATTTTGTTATGCAGCCTGTACTCTTACCTGGTCCCATGAAGTTATCCAGAATTTGGGTTCCCAATTTTTGAACAGTAATGTTCAAAATAAAATTTACAAATTGGGCCTCCTTGGTGGCACAGGGGGTTGGTTGGTTAAGTCAGCGCTATGAAGTAATCCACAGTCAGGCAGCATAAGTTTGATCCCAGGCCAGGGAGCTAACCCACATGATGCAGCAGCCCTCTCTTGTCTCACTAGCTGCTCCTCCCCACCCCACAGCCAGTGTATTTCAGTGGATCCGCCTGTTCTGTTCCCCACTCTTGTCTCTGGTGAATCCTCTCACCCCCTGCACCTCTGGTTTACACCTCAGCTCTTGTATGCACAAACAAATACATCTTTTAAATATTGCAAATTTAAAAATATTTTTAATGCATGTATATTCTAGGGGCTGATTTGAAAGAGCAGGATAGCTTTACCAAATACTAGTTTAAAACAAGTGAAATGGGAGGGCACAAATAAAAAATACATGCCTCGCTGCATACAATAGAAAAGAAAATCAGCAAGATCATTAATACACTTATCACACTGAAATAAACAAAACAAAGGCAAACATGAAAAACTGACTAGCATTAGACTAGTGAATCAAAGAATGCAGAAATACAATAGGTATAGCAGGTTGTGATTAAACCACACTGCATGGTCTCCCCGATGGCCCAGGGGGTAGGTCTCAGCACTATCAGCACTGTGATCTGAGTTTGATCTCTGGCCAAGGAGCTGACCCACAAGGAATAGCAGACCTATCTCACCCACTACCCACGCCCCCAGCAATGTATTTCAGTGGATCCACCTGTTCTGCTCCCCACTCTGTCTCTAGTGAATCCTCTCAGCCCCCCACTCCTCTAGCCTGTAACCCAGTTCTTGTATGCATAAATAAATAAAAATAAATTCTAAAACAAAACAAAAACCACACTGGACGCTCAAACAGTTATATGGAATATTCAAAAAAGCTCTGAGACCCATGTCTTATAATGAACTAAACCCAGGGGAATGACACGGTCAGAAAACCCATATGCAGCAAAATGAGACCTGCAAAGATTTTTCTGAAACTAGAACTTACGTTCTTTACATTATGCTGCAATCCAATATAAGGAAAGTTCACATGTACAAGAATCTAGAAACCTGATTAAGTTTCGAGCATAATGTACTCAAACTAGAGCTAAAATCAGCAAGGAACGGTGAAGTGTAAGGCTACCTACCACTGGGAAGGAAGTGCCGGACACAACACTTAAAAACAGCGAGGGAAGACCGATAAAGCGTCCTTTAGTGGAAAACGAAGAAAGACTGTGATTGGATTTGGCTGAAAGAAGACAAAACGGAAACGTGGGCCCTAAAAAGCAAGTAGCAAGGGTAGAAGTTCAAGAGGACCTGAACTTCCACGCCACGAGAGAAGTATAGAACCTACAAATCTGATTCTACAGGGAGGGACGAGGGCCAGTTCGCGACCGGCGAGGTGTGACTAGTTTCCGAAAAGCCGCGTAGATGTAGCTTCGCAGCCCCACCCCGCGGCCGCAGCTCCTCCCCGAGGAGGACCTCACGAGGCCAACCGCCGGGCTCCCGCTCGAGCACGAGCCTAGGTCCCGTCCCGCCCTAGCCCCGCGGCGCAGAACGGCCTCTCTCGGCCCCTCACCGAACGCTGCAGCTCCCCAAGCCAAAACGAGGCGCGCTCCTTTCCGCTGGGATCTGGGTCGTGGTAAAGCGCCTGCACTGCCTGGTACACGAGCTGCAATGTCGGCTTTGCCCCTTCCATGCTGGTGGCGGTGGTGGCGGCAGCGACGGTTCTGGTAGTTCTCCCAAGGATCCTCCGGTTGTTATGCCTTCGCGCTTTCTCACTGTGTCGGCCACGGCCGCTCCCTGACTGGCGCCATCTCCTCCTCTTTGGCCGTTACCAGGGCAGAGGGGTTCCCCGTGGAAGTTGCCCCCCTCGGAAACAGAGGTTAGACCGTATTGAGGTTCCTGGCCTTTCTCCCGATCCTCCCACTAGACTCCGGACTTGTATGTCCAGACGCTGGTGCTCGCCTCTCACCCGCTGACTTGCTCTCTGAAGTCTGTCCCAGCACGACACAAACCACTCAGCCTTGCTGAACCGCGTTTACCCGGACCGGAAGCGGCAGCACCAATACCTTTGGCACACTTCCGCCCGGTGCAGTGCAAACGTCCTCCTTCCCGGCACGCCTCTTCGTTCGTCCCCGCCCCCTCCCGGAAGTGGCTCTAAGGGGCCAGAAGCTGAGAAGAAATGTGGTTCTTTGGGTGTCTGCCGTCAAACTGGAGCTTTAGGACCCACGAGATCCCCACACCTGAGCTGCCCTCAGCTTCTTGGCAGTGGCTTCTTTCCCCCTTCCGACTCCTCTGCTCCTCTCTAGAGAATCCTTTCTGATCCCTTCGAACAGGGCACGTCAATGCAACCATCCATGGAGTGGCCACACTACTGAAAATCTAAAGATTTAAAGCAGGGTTTCTTTGCTCACTCTAGTAGAGGAAATAAACACGTGGATATGTGCCAAGTTGAAATAAATCCAAAATGCCTACAATAGGCATTGTTCCGACCATTTCCAGTAAGCTCTTGCACCAAAAAGCTCTATCATGTTGCTCAAAAGTGAACTGCAGAATAGTTTCAAATACTCTGTATACATAGTATTTGCACACATCATTAGGGTCATTCTCACATTGGATTATATTTATGTGTGTGCTTTGAATCAAAAATCAATGGTCTAACAACTTTCAGTTGGCAAAAGAAAATGGAATCTTGCAATCTGCACAATGTGAAGAAATTTGTGACAAAAGGTAACAAACAGCATGTTAAGGAATTTCCCAACATTGCTGCATCTCTCTTGCAATCATAAACAAATGCTATTATTTGATAAATACTTGCAACCTGCAAAGCATAGTGCCTACAAAATCTCATTTAATCCTCTTAACGTTACCAACTAATTGTCCATTTTACCAAAATAAAGTAGCTTATATAATTTGCCCAGGGCCACACACTTCATAATCAAATCAGGATTTAATTCCAAGACAGTTTTACTCCAAAATCTGTTAAGTAGTACACTCCCTATCCTGTCTATGCTATGTTGTTTTTCAGACAAAGAAAAAAATATTTTTAAATTTCAGACTAAAAATGTGAAGTTTTGTATTTTGGTTACTTAATTCATGCCTTCACTTCAAAAAAAAAAAATAGTAAGACCACCTTGATTTCTGTCCTCATGGAGTATACAGTCTCATTGCAAAGAAAGACAAGCAATTCAATATTTTATAAAAGTTTTGTGAATATCAGCAAAGGGACAGTGTTGGACCTGTCTTGCACCATATACCAGAAAAGGAGAAGAGGGATCTTTGCTTCTGATGTAAGCATTAAAATAACAAAACTCGGCCCTCCCTGGTGGCGCAGCGGGTTAAAGCACTGCACTGAGAAGCTAAAGCCACTTCCGCATGAGTTCGATTTCCGCCTACCCCGGAGGTGCCCACATGGCGCGGCAGACCTCTCCTGACCTGCCCGCTGCTCCCCTCAGCAGTGTACTTTGTCGATCTGCCTGTTCTGCTCCCCACTCTGTCTCTGGTGAAGCCTCTCGCCACCCCTGAGCCTCTGGCCTGTACCCCAGTTCTGTATGTACAAATAAATAAAATCTTTAAAAAAAAAAAAAAAAACTCTTGGAAGGAAACAGTATATATATCTTCATGATCTTGAAGTAGGCAATGTTTTCTTAACTATGGTACCAAACGCACAATCAACAAAAGGAAAATTGATCAACTTGACTTTATCAAAACTAAAAAGTTTTATATGTCAAAGGATACTAGGAAGACAGTGAAATAGCAGTCTACCAAGTAAAATGAAATATTTGCAAGTTGCATTTGATAGCTAGTAGCCAGTATCTGTAAAGAACTCTTACAACTTAACAATGAAAAGACAATTCAATTCTTAAAATGGGCAAAAGATTTGAGTAGATATACAAATATGTATGAAAAGATGCTCCACAGCATTAGTCATCAGGAAAATGCAAATCAAAACCATAATGGCATGCCTCTCCCACCCACTAGAATGGCTAAAATTAAAAAGACAGTCTTGGTGAGGTTATGGAAAAACCACAGCCCATACACACTACTGGTGAGATTGTAAATTGGTGTAGCCACTGTGGAAAGCAGTCTGGCAATTCTTCAAAATGTTAAACGTAGGGCTACCCTATGACCCAGCCATTCCTCTCTTAAGTAAATACCCATGAGACATGAAAATGTAAGTTCTTACAAACACTTGTACATGAATATTCATAGCAGCATTATTCATAAATGCCCCAAAGTGGAAACAGCCCTAAATCCCGATCAATTGATGAAAAGATAAACAAAATGTAGCAAATATCTACAATGTGGTATTAAATATTAAAGGAATGAAGTATCGATGCATCTATGATGTGAATGAAACTTGAAAACATTATGCTAAATGAAAGTAGCTAGATGAAAAAAAAAAGCTCTATATTGTATGACTCCATATATATGAAGTGTCCAGAACAGGCAGATATCTAGAGACAGAAAGCAGATGAGTGGTTGTCAGGGAGAGAGGGAGAGAGAGAGAGAGAGAGACTGTTAATGGGGGTTCTTTTTTGTAGTGATGCATATTCGGTAGATAGTGGTGATGGCTGTTTATCTTTGTGAATATGCTTTAGAAGGACGAATTTTATGATGTGAATTACATTTCAATAAATATTTTTAAAGTTCTATGATTAGGAATTTTTAAAATATTTATTTATGCATATAAGAGCCAGGGTACAGGCCAGTTACAAAGGAAATATGTTTTCTTTAAGCCAGAAGGCAGATTTTGGTTTTGTTTTGTTTTGTTTAAGGAAAGAAGGTATCTCTCTTCCTCACTGTAACAGAGGGCTCTCCATACAAAGAGGAGATTCCAGGTTCCCTGCCTCAGCTACTGAGGGGGCAGGGCCGAGCAACCAGGGGAAGATGCAGAGCACTCCAAGGAGAACAGCTGGAGGATCTACAGAAGAGAGATGCACAGAGCAGAGGCGTGAGAGGAAGAAGGGCCCACTTGCTTCTCACCTTTGGACTTGTATCAGGGATTTGGGGGACTTGGAGGAAGCATGTGGAAGAGATCTTTGTGAGAGACACGTGGGGAGGCAGACTATGACAGCCATTTACCTTGACTTGCGCTTTGATTTTGCTCCTTTCATCCCAGACTTGCCTGGACCCTTCTGCCCCTTTCCTATGGTTCCCCACCAGAAGGCAACTTAGATTGGGGACAGGCTGTCAGGCCCTAGCAATCCCACCTCAAGCCATCCTTTTTCAGTTAGGCATTTATCCACAAAGGGATGGGTAATTGGGGTATTTTTCTGCAAAACTATTACCCTTTCTTCTCAATGCACAATAATCTTATAAAATTCTTTGATGCCAGGAACCTGTTTTGCCTTTATACATCAGATGACAGAACTCCTTTAGAGCATGCCAGCTTGGGGGCTTGAGGTGTCCCTTAGTCTCCTCACTAACATCACTGGTCCTGAGCTTACCCAAGGGTTGCATAATCATGCTTCAATGCTCTCCAATGCCACACAGGCACCGCCAAGGGGACTTCGTATAAGTTTAACTGCCATGGAATGGTGCTTGTGACTTGTAAACTTCAGGTTTCACTCAGGTTAATTCTCTGCTCTGACCCCTGACCCCTACTCTTTCATCCTCCAAAACCTAGGGTGAGGTGAGCCACTAAACAGTGGAGAGAACTTGTAAAGGCAGCACGGTAGAGGTTTTTCTTCTAGTGTAATAGGGTGGTGCCCAGGAAAAGGGGAGGTTTCAGGTTCCCTGCCCCCCCCCAAAGGAGGGTGGAGCTGAGCAGGCAGAAGAACTGGAGAGGAGACTGGAAAAGGAAGGAAGCAGGATGGAGAGCCAGAAGGAGGTCTGGAGGAAGCACATGTGAAGAAGCTGCACTTGCTTTTTGGTTGTGGACTGGTTGAAAGAGACATGGGTGAGAGACCCATGGGAGGTTAACAGTGGCAGCTTTTATCTTGATTTTGATTTTTCTCTTTTCTCTCTGGGTACAGGCCAGAGGTATGGTGGATGAGAGGATACACCAGCGACCATGGGGAGCAGAACAGACAGGTCTAATGAAATATACTGCTGAGGGGAGCAGTGGGTGGGTCAGGAGAGGTCTGCCATGCCCTGTGGGTCAGCTCCCTGATCAGGGATCAAACTCGTGCTACTGTGACTTCAGAGAGCTTCATAATGCGGTGCTTTAACCCCTTGCACCACCAGGGAGAGCCCTCTGGGTGGACCGTTACCTATAGGTAACTTTTGGGTACTTGATTTAGAAACTAGATTCTTTGTCTTTTCTGTATTGCACACTAATTAAAACTTCCTTTCCATTGAAAGTCTTACATGTTTTGTCTTGATGCAGTGGATGGCAGAATCTATTTAGAGCAGGCAGGTTTGGGGGTTCTGGAGTGCTCCTCTCCCTGCCCTATAACTCTAGTGCCTATTTTTTAAAAAAAATTTATTTATGCATACATGAACTGGGGTGTAGTTCTGAGGTGCAGAGGTGTGTGAGAGAGAAAGAGAGAGGGGGGTTCACCAGAGATAGAGTGGGGAGCAGAACAGGCAGATTGACTGAAATACATTGCTGAGTGGAGCAGAGGGCAAGACAGGGGAGGTCTGCCGAGTCATGTGGGTCACCTCCCTGGTGGGGAATCAAGGCTGGTGACAGCTTCATAGCAGTGTCCCTAGTCCCTATTTTTGTTTGGGTTATTCAACCCTCCCTAGGTTTCCTTGAAGGAATATTTTTTCTTTTTTTTTTTTTTGGAATATTTTTTCTTTTACTGTAATTCAAATTAAGTTTCTGTCACCTGCTGTTAAGAGTCTCATTTGCCAAGAAACGCCCACCCAGCACCCACCTCTCCTGGCCCAACTCCTCAGCCACTTAGCCCTAGGATACAAATTCCTGACCAAATTTCTCCAGCTGTATAAGCAAGGCAGTCGTAAACCCTGTATGGAACAGAGTTCTTGCCCCTCAGTTAAGCCCCCATTTAGGATGAGGACTGCATCTGCGATTGCTGGCCCTGAAACTCAAAACTGCCCTCAGTGTGGTCAGTTGTCACCCAGTTTCACTTGCAAAGCAAATTCGAACTGGTGGGAGTGGAGGATGGTGAATAGAGATCAAGAATTTCTATGG